CATGGTGGTAAGGAGAGCCCCTCTTGTCCTCTCTCCCTCTCTCCCGAGAACCCAAACGGGCAGAATCAGGCTATCTGCCCTCCCCTGGAGACAGCTGGGAGAGCCGGTGAATGGGAGGCTGCCAACACCTGGGACTGGTTGGCTCTGGCAGCAGTAAAGATTTCTGGGACCTATCTGAATTGAAGAAATATCTGAAGCTTGATATTCCAAGCAGGACTTCCCATAGCCCCAGTGAACACTTCTGTCCCTGCAGACCCATCTCCTCAAACAAAGACAGCAAAACAGAGAGAAGAAAACCCAGCTGACATTGAAACAGGACTGTCATGAGTAGGGATGAGATTCTGGGATGACTTTCTGATGCTATAATGGAGAGAACAAAAGATTTAGATAAGAAAGTTAAAAACCAAGATCCTGACAACTGTGGAGCGGATATGAAAAGCAATTAGTCCAAATTAAAGCAAGTAGTAAGAGGACCCCCAAGAAAAATATCTGAGAGTAAGAATCAAATGGTTTTGGGGTAATTGAAGGCTTCAGGAGGAACATCTATAGGAGCGTAACAGTGGAACTTATTCCAAACCAATAGATAAAATGCATGAGAATCTGGAAGGTATAGGAAGTAGTTGGGAAAAAAGTATATATTTCTTTTCCCAATGAAATGTGTGAAAAAAATCAGAAAATTTCAACCAAAACTAAACTAAACTGAACATTGTGTTAAGAAAGCAAAGATTCCAATAAAGTGCATTAAACTGGGCCAGATTCTGAGCAATTAGCAGACAGTGAGAAAGGGAGCCGCTCAATCTGGAACATTCTCCCTCTGGTACCATATAGGTCATACATTGGAGCCCTGGAGGAGGAAGTAGGATTTGAGAACATTACCGGGCTCACAGTGAACAATATTTTCATAGTCAACATACTGACTATCAATCTGTTGATTGTCAATGTACTGACAAGCATGAAAGACCAATTAGGACTGAAAAACATAAAGTTTATGCTTATCATTCATTAAGAAACCCATCATCACGTTCCTTTACTATGCAATATTTTAACGATATGGCATCACCTTGACTAAACTTTTGAAAAGTAATATTAATCAGCTTAACAAGAAATGTGTGGAAACCATATAAGAAGAAATATTTGTTCAGAATCATGAATAAAAACTTAATAAATGGGAAGATAAACATTTCCGTGAGACTGGAGAATAAGAATATCAATTTTTCTTAGACTAATGTGATCTCAACAAATAAAACAAGATGTTTCGAGGAATTAATATATAAAAATAAATGAAAGAATTCTGAAAACAAAAGTTTATGAGGAGCAGCTAGGAATCTTACCAGTTATTAAAAGAAATGTACAATTGTTAGACAATTTGGAGATCAGATAGATTGATGGAGAAGAATAGAAATTTACAATTAGAGCTGAAATTATATGAGTATTCAGTATATAATAAAGGGAGTATTTCAAATTATTGAACAGATAGATTTTTTTCATTTATATTATGCTGAGTCAGGTGATCACCTATTTGAAAGAAAAAATAAGATTAATTCCTATCTCACTTCTTATACCAAAATAAATTCCAGATTTAGACTGATTTAAATAGTGACTTCTGGTTAAGCATGTTAAACATAACAAAATAAGGAACATAAAAGTACGCGTACATTTAAGTCTAATATTCCAATGAGAGAAGTTTTTTTGTTTTGTTTTGTTTTTTACCTTAGATAAAATAATAGCAAATTAGACCACATAGAAATTTAAAATTAATGTTTGCAAAAATGCCACAAACAGAGGAAAATACCTTAAACATATATGACAGATAAAAGACTAGTTTTCTTAATTTATAAAGAGCTGGTGGAAACCCATAAGGAGGGGCAAGAGGTCCACAGGGTAGGAGATTGGCATTACATAACAGCGGGTAGCTTGGAGAAAAGAGAGGACTTCCTCCAGGTCTTTGTTCCTTGCCCCCTTCTCCACCATTTACATCATACTTGTTTTCATCATGACAATCACTTGCCATCATTTTCCCCAAACAGTTCTTGCCTCACCCAGAAGGGATACATTTGTACTTCTCACTTGCTCCCTGATAGCTTTACCATAGTTCTCTTATACACCATATTTTCCATTTTACCTTTTATTAGAGTTGGTCATTTTCATCTTATTCTATCACTTTTGATTATAAATTTCTTGGTAGAAGAAACTGTGTCTTCCTCATTTCAATGCCTGACACCTCAAGCCTCCAGAAACCACTAACAATCCATGTTTAAATAAGTAAGCTAAGCAGACTCTTCAAGGGACGCACATTCTGTGGACAATATAAGTGTACTTGAGTTACATCTCAATCATCGGGATTTAAATTTCTGGATAAAATCTCAGCAGATAAAAATCTGCTGGATAAAATAGCAGCCTTCATGCAAAGCACAAATTCATTTTCAGCCTGTGATAGACGTATTTCATGGCACTAATTTTCATTGGTTTATCCACGTAAGCAGCTAGAAAGACACACATTGTAACAAAGCGTTGCTCTCAAATATAATTCACAGCATCTTACAACATGCATTTTCAGGTGGCTAAGCTGTACAGAAATGAGATTTTTTTTTTTATTCTGAGACTCTGAAGAGAGTAGAAGATAACCCCAGTGTTCTTGCCCACATTGCTTATCTGCCAGCAACGGGTTACAATCCCATAGCTCCACGTTCCCGAGCATTTACTGAATGCATAATAGCTGAGTATTCATGAAAGCTAATGTAGTGGATGAAAACAAATTAATTTGGTTAGTGCCCAAGGCAGTTGAAAGGTACACCTGCATTTTTTGGTCTCTAGGTACTAAGAATAGATGTTGGATTTAATCACAAGCTTGCCTGTCATTTTGGGGGAAAGAAATCCATGTTGGGTAAAATTCCCTTTATACTGGTGGGGGTTTTTGATCTTCCCCTGTTGCTGTTGAGTCTTTAGGATGCACACACTTTTTCACACTGGTGACATCTTCATTGAAGAAAATACAGCAGTCTGATATTTTTTTATGAATCATCTTTGGAACCTGTGTTCCTTGTCTTTGTACATAATAAATCTTCGACAGAAAAAAAAAAAACACAGGGAAAAAAATAATTCCCTTGATGATAAGTGCTGGCATACTTATGAAGTTAAATGACGTGTTGCAAAATCTTCTGAAGCATTTTTAGGATGAGTTAGAGCTAATATTCTCTTAGGCCCCCTGGCAGGGAAAGTATTATATTGTCCTTGACAAAGCTGAGTTCAAGCATCGCTAACAGCATACTTCGTACTTTTGTGAACAAGACACACTGTAGGGTAATGAGATTATAGAAAAATTAACTCAAGGAGATGTTAAGTGTTTCACACATGGACAAAGGGTAAGTGGAAAAACTTATCTCCTGGTACAAGAATCATTTAACAATTAATTGCTCCTTTGTTCAGATGGGTCCACTATGTGCTAGGCATTTAATGTCATACTTCTAAAACAGTTCGTGAAGTGTCCCTAGCAAAGCAAACTGCTAAGAGAGCTTACTCTGTGGGGTACAGCTTGGAAAGTAGTAGATTCAATACCTCACTGAACACAGAATGTGATACTTGGAAAAGGACTTACTTTGGAGTCATAATGACTCAGTGTTAACTTGTTAGTGTCACACATTAGTAGAGTGACTTTGGGCTAATCACCTATCATTCTTAAGCCTCATTTTCCTTATCTTCAAAAAGAAAGAGTCAGAGTAGATTACCTGTAGTGACCATTTTGTCTCTAAGATCCTATCAATGTAACAGGGTTTTTATCTTGGGCTCTGTCCGTCTTTGTATTATCCTGGACCTTATTTCTTGGAATCTGAGAGTCCAGTTTACAACTTCATTGTACTAAAGCCTATAAAGACATTTTTAAAGAGTCACTAGATTCCAATTTTCACTTTCCCCAGACATCATCATTATCATAAATCCTCATTAAGAAACATTTATTGACCACTAATGTATATAAGACACATGAGTCAGGGCTCTACATATAACTCTATATTTAATAAGAAAAACTTGTAAGAATGGAACTAACCAAAGATCTTGGCAGAGAAAGTATGAGTCTTGTAGCTTGGCTGGATTCTGTTGGAATGCTCTATTTTAATTAATTAATTTATTTATTTATTTAGGTCTTGGCCTCTTTCATGGTCTTGACTCTGTGCCTTGAAAATAAAATAATCATGACAAGTGTGTTTGTCTTTATTAAGTTACTCTGTATGGCAGTATCATTTAGAAATATTTGTTTCTTGGGGCACCTGGGTGGCTCTTTTGGTTAAGCCTCTGACTCTTGATTTTGGCTCAGGTCATGATCTCAGGGTCATGAGATCAAGCCCTGTTAAGCTCTACACTGAGTGTGGCGCTTGCTTGAGATTCTCTCTCCTTCTCCCGCTACCCCCCCCCCATTAGAAAGAGAGAGAGCCAGCAAAAGAAAGGAAGGAAGGAAGGAAGGAAGGAGGAAGAAAGAAGAAAGAAAGGAAAATATTTCTTTCTTATAGAGAGTCTCCTGTTTTTAATATAACTGAAATAATTTGATAGATGAATACTATAAAAGTAAAATTAAGGCTATTATTCTCATATGCCTTTAGACAATCAAATGCAATTCACTATAAAAATAAGTTGCACTTAGCAGCAAAATAAAAATACAGTTACCTGTTGGAAATGTTAAATCTTAGCTTGCTTAGAGAATAGAAAAAAAAAATAACAAGAGATCCTGATTTTTTCTTCAATTTACTCAATAGTATTTACCCACCCACGAGGCTAATTTTAATTCAGGGTGATTATTTTAGTTTAAAACACTGAAAAGTTAGATATCAGGCTTTTAGGATTTTTAGTTCTCAGCTCTTTCCCATCTGTTGCATTAAGGCTGTTCTTCCTCAGATCAATCAGATAAAAATCAATAGTGTTGACACCAGAGTCCTCTAACACCACATTCTAATTTTAAAATGCACTTGCGCCTAAGCAGTGTTTAACACCTCCGTTGTCTTCCTCCGCAGGCATTTATGTCCATGTTCCAGATCCTCACCCAGGAAGGATGGGTAGACGTGATGGACCAAACCCTGAATGCTGTGGGCCACATGTGGGCACCTGTGGTGGCCATCTATTTCATTCTGTACCATCTCTTTGCCACTCTGGTGAGTTTAGCATTTCTTTTTAATTCTGTCTTACAACCATAGTGGGATGAGCATCAGCCGGTTTCTGTGGCCTAGTTTCCATTTCAGAACAAGAGCCAGAGAACCCATGTAAATAGTCCGACCAGATGAGGTCCCTTCCAGTCTCAATTCCTATGAATCGAGCTCCTTGAGGAACTAGATTTCAGATCTGAGTAAGACGTCTCCATCAGATACAAGTGTTCACATGAGGGAAAACAAGACGAGACAAAATGGAAATCCCGCATTTGCGTACCTGTTTCATCATCTCTAAGCATTCCCACTCTGGATAATCTAAGGATCAAGCCAGACTACATTATTATGATTGCTGCCGTTATTATTATTTATCATGTAGAGACAAGATCTTCAGTGTCACCGCTTCCTTTTCCAAGCTGAGACTAAACTGAAGACAAGGTGAAGATCTTGGGGTACAGTGAGAAGTCAGCTCAGTGTTTTGGGGCTTTGATGGAAAGAAATGCATGGGAGGACATTAAAACTCAGAGCTACAAATAAATTGTAAAAAGCATCATGAAAATTTAATACCAAAACCCAGGAAAAATTGACTTCTGTCACACAGCAGATTTTTTTTCTTTTCAATGCATTTCTATTAAACAGAAAGAAAAAAATTGTGAAATGTGGCCTTAACATACGAAGGGATGTAATCCTCAGGTCTTTTAATGGCAAAAGTACATCTCCTTACAATAAAAGTGTATGTAGTTAAGAAGCCAACTTAAGCTCTATTATGTTAAAAGTTCCAAAGTAAGAACCCAAAATGTTATCCTTTATCAGAAACACACGAAATTAAAAAAAAAACTGCTATTGTTTATTGAAAAGCAAAATGTTTTATAATTTTATTCCTAGTATTTGGAACAACCAAGGTAGGTAATGCTCCCGCTTTACAGATGGTGAAACTGAGGCTCAGAGGAGTTAAGAAATTTGCCCAATGCCACGTAGGGTGCAAATGCTGGAGCCAGAATGTTCCCACGTCTTCCTGGACTCACAGCCTGTCATTCAGCTATGTCACTGTTTCCTTAGATTGCGATGTTTCCCACTATCCCTGAAAATGTCTTCATGGAGTCAAACCTCTGTCCAAGAGTCACTAAAATAAAACAGATTACAAATGAGTGCTAAGGTCCCTTCCAATTCTAAATATGAACCATGTAAGTGCTTCAGAAACTAGATGTGTTGGAGGTTGCATTTGCTATAGGCAGAGCCTTTCTTTCCAAAACCGAGACACATCCGTCAAGCAGTGTATGGGGATGCATCGTTATCTGGTGTAAAGTTTTAGATTCAAGCAGTAGAATCACATGGAAGTAGTTTTGGCATTTTTTTACATGGGGTGACTTTTAAAATATGCACAAAAGGAAAGAACATTCAGCAGGGGGGAAGGAGGCCCGGCTTCCAGAGCGAAATCTGCCCGCACTGCTGACATGTGGCTCTGAGCACTTTGCATCCTCCCTTCCAGGACCTTTAAGTCTCTGTCATTCATTCATTCATTCATTTACTCATTTGTGAATTCAGCTGTTTATTAAGCATCTACTGTGTCTAAGTTCCTTTAAAACTATGGAATAGCTTGGAGACTATTGATCATGGGTTCAAGGTAGGAGAGAGATGATTGAAATCATCCATGTGTGGTAATAATCTGTCTAATTGTTTTTCTATTAAAACGGTATACTTGTTTGCTATCCTCATGGCAGATTTTTCACATAGATTTAATCCTTTAGTGAGAGTCTCACATAGTATGAAAGCAAGAAAAAACTGATTCAGCCTAATAAACTGTTTACCAAAGTACTTTTTTTTCAAGTGAACTTCTACAGCGAGCACTAATATGATGAAGTAAAATGTTAAATCTGGTGCATTGACTTCTTGGGCAGCCTCATTTTTCCTTATGGGTCAAAACCATGGCACTGACTGTGGAACATGGAAGCATTTCCAAGGACTCCCGAGGGCTCACCTGCACTCCTAGGAATCCACAGAGCACATCTGGAAAATCCATATGCAATTCTGCCTTTTCATTCTACTGAGTCAAGTATCTGCCCAAACCATTTATTGTAATTTTTCCATCATGATTTTCAAAACGTGATTCTAAATTAAAACTATAAATTGAAATAATTTCTTCTTTTATTCATAGTCTTTTCCAAATCTGGAAAGCAACGAGGGCACTTTGGGAAATAAGGTGGAGTATAGCTGTGGAGTTCAAAGTCTAGATTCAGGTTCTAGCTCTGTGGGTCACAAGATGGGTGACTTTAGAAGAATCCAACAACTTCCCTAACCTCTCTGTCATGTATCTGAAAATGAGGATAATGATGCCGCACATACCCCCTTTCCACGATTGCCATCTCCATGTGAGCTGTATTTTTGAGGATGTTTTAGCCGTGGGATGTGAGGAAGATCACAGCTGTCCCCAACACTGAGTTTAAATAAGATGGAGTGTGCCTTTAAGGGTATACATTGATAAGTGCTGAAAAATTATTATATTAGTTCAGATGCTTTTAATTTGTAGAAGTATCACTGATCAGTTTAAAATGTCACTGATGCCCCTTCCTGGACCGAGTCCTTCTCTACCTTGATCTTTCCTTCTTTCCCACACTTCTTCTCCCAGACAACGACTAGGATGCATTTGGTCTGAATCTAACTTCCAGTTTTAAATCATATTTTACTGAATTTAACATGCTGTCAACTATAGGAAGACTTAGTTTGTTTAGTATTAACAAAAAGCAACCATGAAACCATACATATAGATGATAAGGTGCACTCCAGTTTCAGAGTAGTTAAAATGTGAAAATAAATGAGTGTCTTAAAATCAATGAAGTGCAGTAGTCTCCCACATATATATGTGTCCATCAGAAACATATAGTGCTTTAAATTTAAGGTTATAATCTACATTTTATACCATTAGTTTGTAAGATTCATATTAATTTTGTAGTTTGAGAACTCTGCCCCAGTGCCCTGATGGCCGTCCCTGGGGGAGATGTGCTTGCATACTTTTTTCCCTGTTATGACCACACACCATGCTGAGGCCAGTTTATACTTGATCATTGTTTCCCTCCTCAAGACGATTAGTAGCAGCAATTTTCAGAATAAATGGTATCCAACTCTGCATACATTCTCAGTGCTTTTGTCACCAAAGACTGTTTTCAAAGTCTTTATTTTAATACATGTAAAGTTCATTCAGCCATTAGTCTGTATAGTCATGAATATATGGAATATAACTGACTATGCCATATTTGTTTATCAGAACTTCCTGGTGGGTATTTACGTTGTTTTCCAATGATTTGCTCTCAATATTGCAACTAATACGTTTGTACGCTGTGTCCACTTGTGTGAGAGTTTCTGTGGTATATATGCCAGAAAGTAGAATTCAGGATCCTCGATCCTGCCCAGATGGCTCTGTAGCATGCGCCTGCAAGCCCATATATCAAATCTGGTCCGAAGGCTTTAGTTATACAGCTTGTGAGCAAAGAATGGTTTGCACGTTTTTAAATTCAAATATAAGTATTCACAGAATATCATCAGTGTTATCTCTTGGCCCTCTAAGCCTAAAATATTTACTGTCTGGGGCTTATATTTGCTGACCCCTGTTCTGTGTGCAAGCTGTACTGATTCACCCTCTCAGGTGTTGAGAATCCCTGTGTTCTTATGTTCTCACTTCTAGTTGATATTGTTAGACTTAAGACTTTGACAGTCTCATGAGTTGGATGGTAATATCACTTGGCCTTAAACTTGCATTTTTGTCTTTCAGTAATTGTTAATAAGGGAGCACTTCTTCATGAGCTTACTGGCCATCTTTGTGATTCACCCAATTGTATTGTATGCTTTACCTATTTTCCTAAAGGCTAGTTTGTCTTTTTAAAATGCATTTGTTGGAGTGGTACATAGCCTCTGGATAGTAATCCCATAGGTGTTGCAAATCTCCTCTCTTAGGCAGCCTTTTGCTATTTCAATGTATCTGTGAGGTCTTTTGACATTATGTTTTGATGTGGTCAAGACGATCATTTTTTCACTTATTTGGTCAATATTTTTTCTGGACTCATGCTTAAGAAATTCTTTCCTACCCTGAGATAGTAAAAATATTCTCCTCTGTCTTCTTCTAATTGTTTTGAATTTCTGCCTTCCACCATTAGGTCTTTAAGTAATCATAACATACTGTTTGTACGTAGTGTGAGCCAGATAAAATACACCACTGCAATAAAATTCACATTGGTTTTTCCCAACCAGATTTATGGGAAGTTTTTTACATTTCGAGATATTTAGTTAGGTTGCCTGATTGTGATATCTAAAGCCAAAAGATCAACTACTCAGATTGCTACATTTATAAGTGATTTTTTAAAATGAGAACTAATTAATTCAGTGAAAGAAAATACTCCATATAACTAAATTAAACCTGATAGTTCCATTTCCAAACAAAAGTCTTGAGACTGGAGTCACTTCCCCAGTTCACTGGAGATTTTGCCTGGAGCATGATCAGCAGTCACCTTGTTTTTCCTGACATCTTCCAACCCACAGTCACTACCGTGGCCTCCATCAAGTTAGCTCAATCTGATTCAACCCCGTTTTCCTGAATCTCAGCTCCTGGGTCTAAGTACCAACCTACATCCTGGCCAGATTAGACAAGAGCTTAATCCCTGCCGTTTCTGAGCCTACAACCGGTGCAGAAGTAGGGCTGGTAAACACCAACCAACCAACCAACCAACCAACCAACCAACCAATGAATAAAGCCTGCCATTCAAGACCTAATGACACAAGTGATAAAAGGCTGTGGATTGCCGTGGGATCAGTGCCCACATAATAAACATCTGATTTGCACTCATCCAGCCCTACCTGATCTGAAATAGTTAAAATATTGACAGCGAAACAGCTGGAAATGGTTTGTGGATTGACATATAAGTATGTGGTTGGAGACCCTAGGCCTCTGTGACATATGCATCACATTCCCTTAAAAACTGAACACTTACGGGGCGCCTGGGTGGCTCAGATGGTTGAGC